CCGAAGAATCGTGTGAGCCACGGCAAGGAACTCCCAGGCCTCCGAATACAAACTACGCTGAAATCGATTCCCAGCCCTTGGCCCAAGGGGCACGTAAAAGAGCAGGAAGAGCAATGACCCCAAGGTCCGCGTCATGGTGTCGAAGCGTTCTCCGAGGTACCCCGAGGTGGTGGTCAAGCCCAAGGCCATGTACCGGGGCCTTGGGAAGCCCATCCAATCCTATCACTCGCGCTTGGAATGCTTCCCAAAAAAGCCAGGCTTGTGACGGTTTGTTTGTGCACTATACCAAGCAGTGGCCTCTTTCCTACGCCGACGCTCAATGTTCTGGGACTTCCTTCTCGCGTTTGCGAGGCGCGGCGGTCTCAAAGTCTGAAAGCTGTACGGAAGGCTGGGAGATGGAGCTGGTTCTCTCGCAAAAAAAAGGGGAATCAACGGGATGCATGTCTCAGACCTGCGTGGCTTTTGGGATTGTGGGGAGTGGGTTGGTCCCTTGGGTGGGAGGGTACCGCACTGGGCTGCCGGTTTTTTTCCCGAGCAAGGTGCAGAAAGATGGTGGCAGTGATGGTCATAGCCAGAGCGGCGCCAGCTTCTAGCCAAATGCCGGCGAGGTTCCCGTCCTTGTAGACCTGAGCCCAGCAAAATCTCAACCTGAAACAGGTGTGCCACCGGCACTGCTTGGTTAGTTGGAACACCTGTCTGTCGTCAAAGCCAAGTGTTGCCGTCCTGACAAAAGGACACTTGTGCCACATCAGTTTCACAAAACAATCAATTCCGCCCTGTGACGACAGGGGCGGCAACAAGACGCTTGAATGTTTAGACACCAGGCGCACCGCGGCAAACACATACAGCCAAGAGAATAATATGATTGATTCTATCTCGCTCTCTTGCTGCCATTGCATCCAAAAGGTCCCACTGCGTACTGTGTGAGGAACGGAGCCATTGCTACTGTTGACTGGAGGAAGCCTGCCACCCAATTTGGGACCCCGGTGCCCTTCGTGTTCCGCAAGGGCACTCTCTGTTTGAACCTCCCTATCGGGGCCCGGGGCCCGCGCGTTGCCATTCAGGCCCACCAGCTGTTCTGTGGACAAGTTGGTCAACATCAAGGAGCCCGCCACAACGTACCTGGTCCAGAAAGAAAGACCTGTGGATCCTCAAGATCCACGGGCTGGGTAAAAGAATGCACAGGGTGGCGGATGGTATTGCGGCAAAAAGGCAACAAATAGCCCAGTGAGTGAAACAAAACCCACCATTCAACACACACACACACACAAACACGCACGCACGCACACATGCGTGCACAAGCGCGCGCACGTGCACCAACACACGCACACACACACACACACACACACACACACACACACACACACACGAGTTTCTCTGGCACGAGTTCTGGGGCAATGCGTCAGCAAATGATTCTGAGAGGTAGCCTGGCAAAAAGGGCACCAAGCCACTGACATCAGCGAGCATCGTGCTCTTGCAGGACTTTTTGACTTGTTGCATCTCGCACATAATCAAACGGCGCTTTAGAAGGGACCTAGAAAGGGAAGTGCTCTTTCATTGAGTTGAGTTAAAACCCTGCGCACTTCCCAGAATCTAGCATGCTGGTTCTAATGAGTTGCGCCTTGAGAGGCCAAAACCTGATGGCAGTCAATTCAGACACGGCGCTCGGATCAGTCGCTCGAATGACAAAAACATCAAACACACATTTCAAATTTGACGTCCAGAAACAGAGCAAACGGCGTCCTTGTTGCACTTCATCTCCCATCTTCACATAAAATCGACCTACGCTCACCCATCAATGGAAATGCCTAGGCATAATAATTAGCTAAATTGATATTGCATGCATCGAAAATGTCCATGAGCGTAGTCGTGTTCATGGAGAACGGATGCGTGAAAACCAAAGCCGACACTCCTGTCATGCAGCTGCGCACCATCGTAGCGACCGGCCACCTGCAAAGTGGTCATCCGCAGCACCTTGCCCGGGCGGGCGAAAGCCATGTCTGCAAAGCGATGAATGCCGGCCTTGCCAAACAACCGGCAAACAGCAAGGGGACGCTCCATAAAACACAAACTGGGAGACATATCAAAGGTTTTCGAAGGCCCTGCTATGACAAGTGAAACTTTGCGAAAACAACCTGCAGCATGCTCTGCCGAATGCTGGGACTTTCTTTAAGATCACCGAATGCCGTTGCGGTTTGGCCGAGTCAGGTCGCATGCAAGTTGCCCTATCTCGTGTGCGTCTCAAAGGGATGGGTAGCAATACTTTCACGTTTCGACTGGCATGGGCATGGAACCAGCTGACAGGCTGTGTTTTTCGGGGGGGAATTCCAGTGGTGAACCTCGCAACAGGAAACATACAAGTGACTTACGCATGACGGCAGAGTGTATTCGGCACTCTTTCATTTCGCATACCGTTGTTTCTGTGTGTGTGTGTGAAAGCTGGACTAATCTGCACGTTCTCCTTCTGTCCTACGCTTTTTGAGTTGTCCTATCTAGCCCGAGCCAGTTTGCCTTTGCTAACTGTCAGGTGCCTCATGATGAGAACATGGGTGAGTACTGGTCCCACACTCGCGTGACAAATCAGAATCAGCCAAACCCGAGGACAGCAAGTGCCTTGCCCTCATGGCAGAGGAATAGTGCAGCTTGCGGACCTTCCCGTGGCTACACACTCCCTGCCTGTGGAGCTGCCCGAGGATGACATGCGCGAGCAAATGGCCCAGGTGGCCAGCGCTACGAGCGCGGTCGTGGCCCTGAGAGGTCGTCCGAGTTGTCAGCAACACAAGGACACGTGTCAAACAAACACAAGCCATATAGTCGGGAAAACTCAAAACACCAAAGGAGATCAACATAAACTATCCATTTCTCCCCTTTTTTGTAACAACAGCCCAAACCGTGCAACTCGCTGGATGACTTGATGACAAAGCCATGCCGGGCAATGAGCTAAGCTGTCCAAGCCGCAAAAAGGTGCAAATATGCAGCGCCAGCTGCTCTGCGCCTAAGCAAGGCGCTTGGCATTTCAGAAATCCATAGCACAGAGTCCAGGAACGGTCGGCGGCGCATTCCATTTGGTTTCCCGGGTCTTTCACAAAGAGTCGATGCGCCAAGCAAAAACTTCTTGCTAGTCGCTAGCTGAGTCTAGAACCATTTTCCAAAACCATAAATGCCCACAGCGCGCACTTTCAGTCACGCTCTCTCTCTCTCTCTCTCTCCCTCTCCCTCGCAACGCCACAAAAAAGCGGAGTTGGTCTGTCCTTGTGACATGTGTCCTCCATTGTTCTGTTCATTTCTAATCGAAGCTGGCATGTCGATGGGTGACCTAACTCTACCGACACTCCATTCGTCTGCCAAGGCTCTAGTTGCCGCAGCCTGCCGGAGCACAATTTGAAAGCTCGCCCGGGTCCCTGCCCCAAGGGGTAACTCTCTGAGTAAGAACTGTGATCCAGGGAACCTCTGTCCGTAAGTGGCGGAGAATCATTCAGCAAGCTGTCCTTGTTCTCAAGGCCCCAGAAGGTGCGACCAATTCACGGGCAAACCGCTCACGCTGCTTCGTGACCCAACTTAGAACCTGAAAAGGTGGGAAACAGGGAGAAGAACAAGTTGAAGCCATGTTGAGTGTTGCATAACTTGGTTTAAAGTAGATGCAGCAACTCCCCTTCATGTCGGTATCTAAGGATTTGAATTCAATTGAGCAATTCACCTAGGGTCATGTATCCCATTGATGTGTTTTTCTCCGGGGTACAGCGGCAGCACTTTTTGCCTTATGTAAAAGAAAGTATGTTCTTCTGGGGGCGATGTATCAGGCAGAAGCACACACACACACACTATCAATCTTTAATGCTTTGTTTCTTGGCTTGCCTTTCAAAGGCACCCTGTGCTAGCACCAAGGGCGAGGAACAAACTGTTAAACTCCAGGCTAGGCCAGGCCACCTCGCATGAATCCACGATGGGCCTTGCTTCACTTGACCATCCGCAGCAAGGAACCCATCCAGGTGGGGAAATGATCCTGTTGCATGTTGCGAGCCCCAAATAAGGCTCGGCAGCACAACCTGGATAATAACTCTGATGACGTGGCCGTCTAGGTATGAACGGCCAAGCATGGCTGGTTACCATCGCTTCGGCATCTTCACAAAGCAGTTTGTCGCCAAGCACTCTGCTTTCGGGCGCTCAGCCTGTCCCCGTTCCTGTTTCAGAAAGGCCGACCTCAACATCCCGTATACCCTGCAAGCCTTCAACCCTGCAACGCCACCACCCGCGCCTCCACATGAGGCATCTGTACGGCTTGCAACTTCTGTTCCGGGGGCTCCCTTGTATCGGTTCTTGGTCTTGAGCCAAGCGGAGAAAGCTGCAAAGCGAGGATGGCCCATACTTGACCCGTGTCAACCTGCTGTCTCCCAAGTTGCAAGCTGCAAGTTTCATAGCGCGTTTCATAGCTGCTGTCTAGCCCTTTGAAGCCAGCCATGAGCCAGTTGCTTATGGGAAACCATGCAGAATTGCGCCTTTGGAAGACTTACGACATGGTGATGCCGGCTTGGCTGTTGCCACCGGCCACGAAGCGGAAAAGTCAGGCAGCTAACTTGCGATGGAAAGTAGAACCTATTTGAAATGCCACTTGTGATCTAACGTGGAGCTTGCGTGGAGCTAGCACCAGCAACAAAGGAAAACAATGTGCGATGCCAACAGCTAAACCCATCGTCTGCCAAGCTGCCGTGAAAATAGCGCTGCTGATGTGATTGATTTTCGTGCTCGCCGCTAACCAATCGCATAAAACCAGGAGCTCCTGCAAAACAATGGCACGCCTTGCCAACGCTCTTTCTGAAGCGTGGTTGCAGCGAAAGTCAACAGCCTGTTGGGCAAGCGGGTTGCTTCGGTCTATTCGATGCTACATAAGCTGATGCCCCAGCCGCCACGACTTAACACACGATGCTACGACTTAACCCCAGTACCCAGTAGTGGTGTCCAATCCCAAGCCCCTTGGCTTCTGACGCTTCCGACGCGCGCGCCTGAAGGTCTTGTCCAGCAGCAAGACCCGCCACTCTGGGGGCCTCGGGCTAACTGGCCCCAGGCCGCAAGGGCTGTAAGACTCAAGCTGCTCTGACCGTAATGCGGCAATGGGGTGGGATCTGCCACACGCCACTACCAAACGTTCAAACGTAGCCTCTAGAGATTTCTTTGGACAATAGAGGACCAATGCCAGTCCTGAGCCACAGATTTGGCAGTAAACGAAGCCGTAATAAGTCAACTGGCACACTGGATGGACACGTGGTTCCGCAGCCACTTTGCACAAAAGGGCCTCTCACCGTTTGCACCCCGTTTGGGGGAAGTTTCTGCCAGCCAGTGGGCCTCAACAGCTTCCAACAAAAAATGCCTTCATTGCCAAGCCTAAATACGCTGCACCTCAGGTTTTGTGCATCTCAGCGCTGACTCGCTTGGTCGAACTTTCCGCCCGGGTGCTCAAACAGGAGCTGCTTGGGGCATGACTGAAGCTAGGCTCTGGGGTTCACGTCCCCCCTGCCGGCACAAAAGGAAGGTTGGTCCAGCCTGGACAACTGTCGATCTGCGAGCCATCTTACCTCAGGAAGCGACTCATGGACCAACATGTGTTCGTTTTTGCTTGCGGTGCTTTTCGAGGGCCAAGGAACCAGGCAACCAAAGGAGGTTGGCAATCGAAGAATTGCAGCCCAAAGCAAACAGCGGGCTTGCGTTCTGCAAAGGCCTCCCCAGCCTCGAGTGTGAAACAAATACCAGGCCAACCAAACGACACGTGGCCGAAAAGCATTCATACTAGCTGCGCAAGCCTGCGTTCGTATCCCGATGCTTAAGACAAGAGTATGTGCGCGCGAAGTCTTGACACCGCTTCAAGCATCCTGGTGGGGCATTCTCTGTGCAAGTTCTTTGTGCGAGTTCCTGTGGGTAGGTTTTCCGCGCAATGTCCCCTGCGCAAGATTCTCAAACTGCTCTGCGCAAGTCAGCGTCTCTACAACAAATTGCAACTCAGCTGCAGGAGCAAAATTTTGCGCACTACGGTTGTACTGAAAAGTTGTGACTTTCGCCTGCAGCTGCAAGATCTCACGTCGTGTACGGCTTTTGTAATGAAACACTACTGGTTTACAGCGGAGCTGGGTTCGCACTTCGCGTACCATTCTCGCGCTCTGTCCAAGCTCTGACGAACTCGGTATTCATACACACGACAACATTGCTGTGTTCTCAGTGATGGCTCAAACTGAGGAGGGCGCTTACCATCACAGCCAGGGCCCTGCTTAGGACAAAAACAAACAAACAAACAAACAAACAACGATGGTGACGAAATGTGACGAAAAGCCTGCTTGGCGGGAACATAGGGTTGATGCAGGTTGCTGGGCCGAGCTGAATAATGTCGGATAGCGATTAATCCAACCAGTAGGTTGGTTATATGCAAACATGCTTGCTCAAAACTATCCCCTTGTCTGCAAACAAGAAAGGGTTGGCTATATGGCTGCCCAGCCCTGCAATGATACAAATATACAAAAAATAGACCAGTCAACTAAAACTAAACCAATACTTTGTCAATCCTAAGCCAGCAAAACCAACCGAGGCCAACCCGGTCATTTGTTCATGAACAATTTAACTAAAACAGCCTCCCATGCCTACTTTCAACGGGCTGGTGCAGGGATGCCCCGGAAACTGAATTATGATATGTGCATATATATATATATATATTTCTATATATTATGCAAATATTATGCGTGTGTGTGTGTTGTTTAAGTGTAGGACAAAGAGAAAACAAGCATCTCTGCACCAGTGTAGTGGAATACTAACACAAAATGTTAAGCCAAAAGTAGTGGGTCAGCTCCTAGAAATACTGTACCAACTCGAAACCACTACTGTTCCGTACTTACTCGGAGACGACATGTGCAGGCCGAGCTCTGACATCTCTGACCCAGTTTCTTTTTATGTTTCCCCACGGACCCCCTCCAGTTTGTCAACACTAACAAGCTCGTAATCGCCCGAAATGCATCTAGCCGCAAATGCCACATGCTTGTTTTAAGTTAGCGCCTCGGTTTTGAGATCCATTTAAGGGCTTCCTTGGTTCATGAGTACAGTTTTGGGCTGTCGGCCGGCAATCCCTGCTCCTTTCCGCGCCTTCTCCCCGTAGCGGGTCTCGTCGATGGGCAGCGGGACATCTGGGCGCGGCGCCCGCACCGGCGTCGGCCTCGAGAACACCAAGTTCCATCAACTTCCTGTCGCTGGAGACGAGGAGTCGATTCAAGCACCGCTCCTAGCATCCAATCTCCTGCTTTGTGGGGGGGCCCTCTCTCCCGCCGTGTGGAATGCGGGCCCACCGAACATCAAGCGACCTGGAAAGCGGCACGTTTGTTCAAGCCCTTCCACATCAGGGTTGAGCCACCCGCGTGTATTAAACGTGCTTCGGTCTCCTTTGACCTTGTGTTCTTTTTCCTGTTGAATGGGACCAGGGTCGCATTGATTAAACCCCAGCCAAGCAGTTTTGCACGACACGCTTTGTGAGTCTGAATTCACCCAGTTGCCCAACCGGGCACCGCGCGCCAGCGCTGGAGCTGCTGCCTGAGGCATCTGAATCCAAAATATCAAAACCACACTGACACTGGGTGTCCAGTCGCCGGAGTTCCCTTGCAAACAACTCGGGAGTTCCCAAAAGATGCCCAATTTTGGAGGTAGACATGAAATTCAGGGAACCCTCTCCCACCTGAAAGGTCTCACCCCCAGGGCCGTCCCTTCTGCGCTCTCAAAATAGGAATGCAAGTGCCAAAGGCTTTGCACCAACTTCCAACCAAGCTGACCTCGGCAGAAATACAGTAACTTTCATCATCGACCACAAGTCCAAGCGTGGTTTCTTCCGTGTTGACGACACCGTATAGCAAAAAGAGCAATCAGTCCCTCTGCTGCGGGTGAGGCGGCTGCAATCTGGGCGGAAGGGGTGGGCACCTGATGCAAGCAGCCAGGTAAAATGTGCTGAATCTCAACGACTTGGGACCCACAACCTGTGGATGATGGGAATCCCTCACATCGCCGATGCAATGGTCTTCCAAAAGAGGATGACTCTCAGTCGCGGGGAGTGACCAAACAAAACTGCTCAGGAACGGGGTTCAAACAGCATCACCACACTGGCCTCCGTCTAGGCCACAAGAAGTTGACTGCCCCTACTTTGATTCTCTAGTCGGATGCAACGCATGCCGCACGCACTCGGTGCCAAGGCCCCTGCGTACGTCCGCATGCCCAGAAAGGTCGTGAGTGCTGCAATCCCCTTGGCGATTTTATAACTGGGCGGGCTACGGCAACCCTCCAGCTTGGCCGAGGGAAAGGCATAACAAATGGTTACCCCTCTGTTTCAACTTCTTCTGCCCTCCTCGCCCCTACGTCCTACACTCGAAGCAGGGTTTGAGCAAGCCGCTGGAAGCAAGCAGCGACCACGAATGCGAGCGGGGAACTCCAATGTCAAACCGGAGCAATTGGTCAAGCTGGGTCGCTGGCCACCAGCAATCCTCGCAGTCCTGACCTGAACCAGGAGTCATGAGGCTGAATTACACAAACTTTTCGGTCTATAACTTGAGACCACAAACCACAAAACCCAGAACCTTCAGTCGGATGAGCTTCGCTTGATGTCTCCCCAAGGTCGCCTCTTCCTCCTGCAAGTCCTTGTCGCCTCTTGGAGCATGCCTGGTCACCAGCAGAAACCTGCCCACGCCTTCTTGATGGTAACGCTACCATGGATCCTCGCACGTGCCGATCAAAGGCGGGCAAAGATGCTACAGCAGGCTGGTAGGATGACACGGGTACCTGGAGAAAGTCAACGGGCCCACAACCATGAGCCATGGTAAAAAAAACAAACTCAGTCCGCTGAAAGACTGAGGGAATCAGCCGCTACTGCAATCTACTGCACCACGCCGCAATCAACGGTTCAATCACACAAATCCGTGTAGACAAAATGGCCTTACAAATGTGGCAACTTCTAACTTCACTCAAGCACAAAGACTTTATGTCGCCAGCACTCACGCACAAATGACCCAAAGGCTAACATACACACGTGTGGCTTGAGCGGTGCCCGCCTTGATGAAAGGTCCAGAGGCTTCACTAGTGCCTTCAGCCTTTCAACTGCAGAGCATGAAATGCCACACTGCCACACGCACACATAGACCTCATTTCAGGATCAACCAAGCACGCTCCGTTTCGCAACTTGGGGGAGCCACCATCGAGCATGTAGCATGTGAGCTGGGGGTTTATTGGAACGTTTCAATCTTTGAAGTTGAGGTTCTCTATTTTCCGCGGTGGCTGATAAATCAAGAGTGGACCCAAGGAAGAAATGGCCGGCGCATGCAGACAACTTGTGGCCAAACTTCTTTTCCATCACGGCAGGCCACAGAAGGTTCGAACACCTCCTCCCAGGAGCAGTGTCAGCGCACGTCTTGTGCCCTCCCTCATTTCTCAAATTTGGATACGGGGTGTTAGCGGAAATGTTTCCAAACGCATCCTGCATCCTAGGAACATCTGTGTGCCAGCGCCAGCCGAGTTTCTAAGGGTCCCTGCTCACCTCAAATGTTCGAGCACTGCCACCTGGGTCACATTCTCTAGATGGCGGCGGGGGCCGCAAAAAGGGCCAGTTTACATGTCCATGGCCCATAACTCCCCAAGCTACGTAGTGGGTTGGGCATCTAAACAATGGGGCGCCTTGCAAATTTCCGCTGAGGTCTGCCAAATGTGGGTGCGGAATGTATGTCTCGGCCTGCCCATTGCTCCAAGGAAGCAACCCTCAAGACGCTTCAGCTCACCAGGCGGATTTCAGTCCATCTTGTCGACGCTCCTGCATGCCAACCCGACAGGGTGGGCCTTTTGCGAGCTGTAAGCCGATAGCCGAGCATTTTGGGGGAGTCTGCCTTTCATAGAAAAGTGCAGGTCAGGCAGGGAGAAAAGCATGCCACGCACCACACGCACCACATGCCTGGCCTCATAACGGCGATGATCTTGCCTTATCCCGTGTCTCAGACGGCGACACATTGAGCAGCCAGGCTGAAAGCCACAAAGCCTCAAAGCCTTCAAACGTGCTGAACTTCCCTCTGTGCTTCCCCAAGTTCCGAATTGGACCGAATTCAGATCGAAATGTTTCGTTTCTGGGGTTCGCAATGAGAAGAAAAAAAATAAGCGTTGCTCTTACAGTTTGGACGCCATTAGCAAGGTGCCAGAAATGATACTGTAAGCTTGCACTTCAGAGCCTTCCCCAGCCATATTTGCAGTACACATCTGCCCCACCAGCATCATCAGATTAAACTTTATAGCCTTCTAGCCACGAATGGCAAAACCCTACCCTAGCCCCAATGCTTTCAAAAGCAGCTGCGCGCGCACCCACCAGCATCATCAGCTTACATGTTGCAGCCTTCAGCCGCATTTTCTCGTTCAATCATTCCTGACTCAAACGAGCCAGAAGAAGTCCTCCCGCGCTGAAGGACAAAAAGCAACGCCACGGAAAATCCCTTGCCGCTGAGTTTCTGGTGGAGGTCTCGGACACCTCGCCGGCCAACAGAAGTTCATCAAGGATGCGGTAGACCTGCGATGCCCGCAAAGAGGCCCTGAAGACGCTGGACCGGACACTCTGCCCACAGCGCAAGGGAGGCTACCTCAAGCAGTAGTGGCAGCAGCCTTTGTCGCCGCCTCTTTCAAGTACCCCCCACCCCCCCCGTCATTCAATTGCAACATTCACTGCACAGCTGCAAGCACTGCACCAGGGCGAGGAATGCATCATTAAGATCAGCAGAAATCCCAGGATCTTGTCAAAGACTCGTGAAGAGGAGCGAAAGCTAGCATGGCGTAAGCCAGTGAGGAGAAGAGCTGGGATGAGGGCGGAGAAAAGAAGAAGGAACGGAAAAAACAAGAAGAAGAAAGAAGAAGAAGAAAGAAGAAGAAGAAGCGTGCGGGCCAAAGCAAGCAGCGAAGAGAAAAGAAAAAAGTGGAGAATAGACGGGAGATGAGTGAAGAAAAGCGGGTTGACACAAGAGGGAGGAGGTGAAGAGCGGCGAGAAGAGGAAGGAGACAAGGAAGAGCAGGGAAATCAGAAAGAAATAGAGCTGAAGGAAAAGCGGAAGACTCAGGAGCAAAGACCGGGGAGAAGAGCGCCCACAGTTTGCACGGGGCCGGGGAAAGGAGTTGGTGGGGATTACCATTGGACGGAGTAGCCGAAAAGTTCCGAACAGCCATTTTCGAAGACGCTCTCACTCGCACACTCTGTAGCCTTGTCGAAGTGGAACACCAAATCTAGCTCACACACGTTGCCAAAGTACCTGCGACAAGCACAATGCCACGAAAGCAATGCCATGATGGCCAGAAACATGCCCAAGCGCCACAAGGCCAAAAGAACCAGCGGCAAGCCATCCGCCCATGAAGCCCTGGGAGCTGCTATGTTGACAAACTCTAGAGCGTCAGAGTACGTTATGTTTACCTCTCTGGGCAATGACCTGTCTACCGGCGTGGTTGCACACCACAGGGGAGCCATCCCTGTCCGCACCCGTCCAGGACTTCCACAAAGAGGTGGATCAACTCCTGGCCGCAGCTCGGGCCCACTTTGGAGGCTCATGCCAGTCTGCTTCAGCCTAACCCAAAGACGTTGATTTCCCGAATGGTGCTGAAAGAGTCGTGCGATTAACGACTTCCAATCTTTAGCCGGAATATGCCATGGTTGAGACTAGGGTGGTACCTGATCGTCTCTACCACAGCTAAGGGTCTTCTAGAGAGTGCAGTTAATAACACCTTCGTCCCCGGATACTGAACTTTACAACGATTCAGCAATGCAGCCAAGAACGTATGTGTTGGCACAAACCTAAGTGCAGCGCAAGTCATTACAATACAAAATGGCACAACATCATGAAATGCATAAAGGAAGCGGTGCAAAAAGCCTTGTACATACACATTCTGCTCATTAGATGGACCTCCAACTAGGATGGCAAACATGCAAGCTGTCAAAGCTAAGACATGCGGGCCGGTCCAGGATGCCGAGCTCGTTGTCATTCATGTCCACACAGAAAATGAAGAACATGCCGGCATAGCGCCTCGCCAAAATCAGGATCCTTGTGGAAACAACTGTGCTCTATCAATCTCATATGTGCCAAGAACCTTAAATTTGACTCCCTGCAAACCCGCAGGGCTGACTTGGTTGCCTAAACTTGCAGAATCACACTTTCTACAAACCTGGGTGCCCCTCCTGAAGCATGCCCCCGCCCCCTTCGGACTTCATTCAACTGAGGGGGCCGCCAGTCAACTAACAGCAGCTGATGCACACCCCACCTGCCTGTAGATGATCTTGTAACTGCGGTACTCCAGGAAGTTTGTGTTCCTGCAACTGCCACATTAAAGGAAGCGCTCCTAAACGTGGCCGAAACTGCAACCTCATGTCAAACAGCAAACGGGAAACAATGCTTGCTTGACTTCCTACCACGAGCTGTCAAATGAACGCTCATGAGCGTGCAAGCTGCAACGTGAGCATTTAGCCACCGGCCTTGGCTCCCGAGTCACAACGGCTCTGTGAATCTCTGACTCAATCTTGAACTTTTCGCTCGCATTAAAGGGAACGTACCTCAGGCACCCGGTTCCAGCAGGCTCTCTCAAAACTATTCACAACCAGTCAGTGATCCGGTGTCCGAATGCTACATGCAATCAGGAATCCCGTGCATGGCGTGTCTTGTCTCTTGCCGTACGGGCACGCAAAGCAACTCCGAGGCATTGGCCACTTGGAGAGGCGGGTCTTACCCTGCCGATTCTGTAGCAGGATGAAGCGAATCATACCTCACCAGGATGCCGCTTGCATCAGGTGTCGCCTAGTCAGCGGCAAGGCTTGTGGGCTAAACGTGTGCCAAGCGTTGTCTGAAAGCATGGTCTGTATCCAGCGTCTGTCGTCACATTTTCTGCCATGGTCCTGGTTGCATGTCCTGCACATTTGCAGCTCATGGCCCAAAGCTGAGCCAAGGCAGCTTCCGGCAAGCTAATACTCAAGCAAGCAAGGGGAGTAACCACGCGGAAGGCATCGAAGGTTGAGGCCTCGCACCATGCAAATGAGACCAACAACTCAATAACCCCCCCTTAACTGCCATAATTATAGAGCGGAGCTGATTTGCCCGCAAAACTCACGGGGGCCACAAGAGACTTCAAAAGACTCCCAAAGGTAGGATCACTTGCGTAAACATGACAGCGAACGAATGCAAAAACGCAACCACACTGGTGCAACATGGCATGCGGAAGTGAACCACGGACAGCCTCAACATTTTCATGGGCTTGCACGTGAACATGAACATACATATGCAACAGAAAACACGGTAGGGACGTGCAAACACTGACCTGTGCAGAACAAGTACATGCGGAGATCAAAATAAAAGGAACTCAAAAAAGGAGTATGACGTTTGAAGGCAGGCAGGCAGGCAGGCAGGCAGGCAGGCAGGCAAGCAGACAGGCAGGCAGAACGACAATTTAAAGTAACGCAGACATAAAGCACGCCGGCACAACGGTGTCACAATTCCCGTCCTGCCGTCCTGGACATTCTTCCAGCCCTCTTTTTTGTGCACATCCCCAGTGCTACTGCTTGGTCGGCAGACGGCCGAGGCTGCCTCTGCGCTTTGCGTACAAGCGACATGCTCCAGCCAAACTCGGCTTAAACTCAGCCCCGCAATTGCCATTCAAGAAAGGTTGGTGCAACCGTCAGCCCTGACAGCTGCCTCAAGTCCGGCTCTCCATCTGACTTTACACTCGCGCCAACCTTCCAATCGAATTCCCCTGGGGCCTGGTGGCACTGGGCAGCATGCAGAAGGCTGTGCTTCCGATGTATGCCAAAGCAATCCAGTCGAACACAAATGATCCAGCAAGTACCAGCCTTGCAGAAGAAAAGGTGAAAGCAACATGAGCAGAGATGGCGAGATGATGTGAGGAGAGTTTGAAAGGTTCGCCCGCCTTACGGCTGAAGGCTTAGGGTAGGTGTAGGATTGGTTTACAACAAGCTTAGGGTGAGCATGTGAACATGGATTGAATTCAGAACTTGCTTGGGACTTGGGTACAGGACGGGTTTGGGAGTTGCTTTTCGGCGTTACAGGCTCTTGGAACTGGCTTGAGGTGAGTCTCGGGTTTAGCATCATGTTCGGGTGGACCTTCGCGGCAAACAAAAAGTCAACGGAGTCGCGAGACACCGTGCCGCGGCTATCCCTGCCGAGAAGCGCGCGCTGTCCCGTTTTCACTGTGTCTCTGCCAAGGGCAGCTGCGGCCTGGCATCTTGCGGATGAAATACATCGGTGTCTGATGTCCTATGGAGTGTGACCATGTGTCGTGCTCCAGTGCTCGCAATCCGTGCAGTGCTCTTTCGAAACCATGCATGGGTTGAAAACCCCAGTCACCTGGTGCACCTTTGGGTTACATGCCAATAACATTAATCATGTAAAACATCAACAACAGGCTCTCCTTTTCACAAGCCAGCACCGCCGACATCAGCATGGAGTGCTTTGCACGATTGGTACTCGCATCTGATTTGCTAGATGACCAGACCATCTTGCTGCCACAAGTTTTCCACGCTTGACAAATTCTGCATACCTGCTGGGTGCTCGGCTGAGTTTGCAGTTTTGCCGTCCTCCTTTAGGATCTGGTAAGCTCTAGCTGCGCTACTCCAAGCGCAGATGGTTCCCAGAGCTGGTCAGATTTCAAATCGCAAGCAATTTCTCACCAAGCCTCCACTCTTCCCATATCGTAGCTAGCTTTGCGACAGCCAAGCGAAGAGCAACCTACACAGTTCCTAAATGCTTTGCAAGGAACCGCGTCTGCCAGTGGGTCTGCAACCCATCAAGGTTTCTGACCCTGTTCCATGTTAGCCCGCTATGATGGCCCGTTGCGTGCTGAGGTTACTGGGGGGCGGGTCTGGCTCATTGGGTTGTGACTGTGGTCCTTTCAAAATCGCCAAGGCCCGGACCTACTCGGAGGCAATATATAACGGCGCAACAGCCGCTCAAACGTCAAGCTTTGAGGTCTTCACAGCTGTCCTGACTGTAGAATACTGTAGGTCTGCTGATGGCAAGGCTGAAAGGCTGAAAAGCCGATAATTGAGGCGCAAGGTGGCCTTCGGCGGCCAAAATGAATCCTGAAAGCAGCGCTGTGAGCGCTACGTTGATCCAAATCCCCGGACACGGACATGACTTGACGTGCAAGGACTAAATCAACGAACGCACAAAACGAGAACAAGCCCACAATCCCGAACCACAACAACCTCGGGAAACCATGAACACCTACAAAGACAACATAAGGTATGACAGATTTACTGGCATTTCGTTCACTCGTCCCTCAGAGGCCAGCTGGAGCAAGAGTTGACTGGCGCTCGCAGCAGGTCCTGGATCGAAGGTCTGAACTTCCTCACGGCCAATTGGGTGGCCGAAGCCTTGTAGTCTGAAAAATTAATAGCCTTCTATCTAGGAATGCCAGCGTTGTTTTCGGGATTCAAACTTCAAGATCCCAGACATATTCGGAGAAATCTTTGACCTGAAACAAAGATCCTTGGCTTGCCGACGCACTATAAAATACATGCCCCTTAATGTCAAATCAATGTTCCAGCCTTCCTGCCAAAATGCAGCGATTTTTTTACTCCGGACTACAGATTGATTGAGAACAAACGGATCAAAAGCTATGATTGACATTGCACGGTTTACATACGCTTCCCCCATACTGGATGCAAATGGCAGCCTGCTACGTGCATGTCTAAAACACTGTCCAACATAGTTGTTGTTGCCAGGTTTGGTAGTGCTGAGGGCACTGGCCTCTCCAGTTCGGCTTCTGAAAGCAAGTGGCGCCGAAAGATGCGCATTCCCATCCTACGACCCGCGCGCCTGGCCCCATCCACCTGCAAGCGCATGTCAAGCAAAGCGGCACAGCTCTGGGCAAAGGGAAACTCTAAAGCATCATCAGGCTGGAGAGGCTGCCAACAATTCGAAATTCCCGACCCAGCCCCTTGTTGCGTCACAGATTGTGCCCGCAAACTCTGAAGGCCTGCAGCACTTTGGCCCGCAGTCCGGAGTCCCAACGACGGCACTTGCCGACCTAAGGCGCCTCTCAGCAGAGGGCAATCTACGCAACAAATGCTATGTCCACTTGTTTGGAACTGGAATGGCCACGCATAGGAAGCCGCTGCGTCACCATTCTTGAGACTGTGTTGGCGCTTTTCGAGTGTTTGACACTCAGCTGCATACAAGGGGCTGTCCTCCCCGCGGTTCATTTGCGTTGCGGCTGGGCTTAGCCATGCAGCCGGGGGCCACAACAACTCCGCAAGCAGCCCAGCATGCGGCTTTGCTCCTGGCGCTGAAATCCTGTTGGTTTTTGGATGCCGCAGGTGGAATCCACAATTGGGGCATCGAAACTGTGCTGGCTGCATTCCTGCGACGGGGTGACACCTGCAAGGAAGGCATCCCTCTTTAACTGCATTTCTCAAAGTAGGGCTGCACCAAGGATCCGCAGCCTTTAAAGAACTTGCCTCAAAGCATGCTGCCTCAACTTGATGCATCCTAGCTGTATGATGGATATCCGGATATCCTGAGCGCCTGCGCCAAACGACTTGGTGGGAGGAGCGACTGGGCAAGCCTTTGGAGTAGGTTCATGGCCTGCTTAACGTGTTGGATTCTTGGATTTCTTCAAGCAGCGGGGGGGGCAATGCTTGGCCCTTTCTACAACCCTGGACAGCCACGCCAGTGACACTCAACTGCTGGCACTTTGTGGAAAATCACCCAATATGGATTATTCCAAAAGGGGTTTGCTCGGAATCGCAGAAAGTGGCGCCAAAGCCGACTACCTTCTACAACATGAGCTGGTAAGCTGAAAGAGTGTGCATTTTCCAAAGGCATATGCCGCATATGCCTGTGTGTCGGTACTGCTCTTTTCAAGCCAAAAAGACATGTCTTTCGCCACATTCCCAAGTCTTGCCAGTCAAGCTGCCAGGCTCTGGTAGTAGTCGTCAGCAGCTATTTGCTGGACAGCGAAACCTGGGGCTGCGTTAATCGCCATGGGGCCATGTTTCAGGGTCACTCGAGTCTGTCTCACTCGGATGTGCAAACTGCCTAAAGGCCTCGAGCTCGCCTATGACTCAAAGCCATGCTCGAGCAGGAAACTCTTCTAACCACACCCACTCAGTCACGATTCGCTGAGCATTGCCATATGGCCTTCGAACGAAGAAGCTTGTTTGCAACACAAGAAGGCACATGGACTGGGTACCAGGTTCCTCTCGTGACATAAGAGATTGAGGGGACCTCTCCAAATGGCTGGTTACATGCGGGTCGCTTTCAATTCAACGAACCGCACCTGCAAAATGGTCAAACAGGAAAGGCTCCAAAGGGGACAAAGCTGAAGACAAAGCCATGACAACACGTGACAAAGCAATGTAGTCCAAGAAAGTGCTCAAGCTTGAAAGAGGGCGGGATGCTTTGCGTGAGTGTGTACACATGATATGGCAAAACTTTTCCATCCGGTTTTCGGAGTGTGAAAAACTGTCCCTGGCCACATTCGCCAGGCCACTCATGGCTGGGTATGAGTGGATGGTCGATGCCAAAGCACTCATCTTTAGCCTGACGGGCTGCCGGATTGCAGGGGAACCCCCGTCTCCTTTTCACCCGGGTTCCCCATGTTCACTTTGGAAAAACATCACCCAAAGCAAACTCCGCCCCAAAGGCGACGCCACCTCGCAGTAAAATGTATCATTTGCCACCGCCCTCGTGTCGAAGCCCCATTTATTCACATTCCTGCTGCATGAAAAGGAGGTCCAAGATGTCCAAAAACCTACATGATCCTTTCCAAAAGATTGCCCAGTGATTCCATCCACTTCCATCCACTTCCATCCGCCCCATCCCGCGTTCCCAGTGATTTTGATGTTGACCGAACCCTATTCCATCCACTTCCCTGCAACTTCCATCGCCTCTTGGCCACTGCCAGGCCCAGCTCCCCTGCAATCTCCCCGGCGGCCGGCGACACCACCGTGGCCCCTGGTTGCCGGCGGGTGGATGGTTCTTAGGCGGTTCCGGCAAGCGGGGGGGGGGGGGCAAGTGTGATGAAAGTTAAAGGCCGCAAAACTGCCGCTTCAATTGTTGGACCATTGTGGGAGTTCGAAACTTGGTGAACTCATGGCCCCACTCCATAATTTGGGCGCAGTGCAGCGTTCAGGTTCCGGGCTCAACCCACCTAAAAGCAATGAACAAAAGGTGCAATACAAAAAGACAGGGGGAGACATCGTATTCAGCATGCTGAACACATGAGGGCCGCAAGAATGCTTGCCAACATGGCATCTATACTAGAGATCGCCCCCAAAAGCGCACTACTGGCACTTGCCACGTGCAGTTGGAGATTTGGAGATTCCGATGCCAATAAAGAAGACGAGTCTACCTGGAGGCTCACGGGCCACGGGCCCCCAAGCCCAATAAAGAAGTGACCAGTTGACTTCAGGACTAGTTTACATCTGCCCCGATGCAAAGTACCTGAGGTCAGCTCGTTCCGAGTGCCCGCGCCTACAATCTCGCCTGTGGCCAAGACAATGACTTTGATGAAGCCGTTCGTTTCGCCTTCACCTTGGCAAATAAAGATGCATTGAGAGCCTCCCAGCCAAGACACTTGGGCAAATGCAAACCTGGACGACAAATGCAAGTGGAAGTGTTTTAGGTTCGTAGCTTCCGCCTACTTACTTCGTTTGTTCTGAACGTGGCTGCTCTCGGGCACTGAGTGCCCTGTGTTGGGAACGGGTCTCTAGATTCTCATTCAAAGTTGGGATATCCTGGTGCAAGTGGTCGGGTTCAGCGTTTCGACATTGAGTGAACAGCAGCCGCATTGAGTTGCGGCAAAAGTTCAAGTCTAAGTCACTGCAGCGCAGTTCAAGTCACAACAACCAACTTGAAAACGAGGCGTTTGGAGGTTCACAAGGTGGGAACTAAGCGACACCTGAAAGCGGCAAAATGCGTCAAAGCGCACACAGCGCGATCCACGTGGTCGAGCATCCGCATCCGCGCCTAGGAAGGAGTCTACTTGTTTCAGTCGCCGCCTGTCGCAGTCCAGCGTTGATTGACAATCCCCCGGCTTATGATGGCATCACGGACTTTGCAAACTGGGCTAACCCCACTCAATCACTCAATGGCAAAACGTAGTAGCTCGGATTACTTGATGGTACGCCAAAAAAGGTGCACCTGGGAGCTTCAACAACTGGCAGGATCTGTAGCCTCCAGTGTTTCTAGGGGGGCCATCGGGCCCAGTGACCCACTGACAAGCAAGTACGTCACCTATCCACACCCCGTAGGCCAGTACGAGGCAGGTTCGCACACCAGCATGCTTACAGAGTCTTGTGCGTCAGGTTGAAAGTCCCAAGCTCTGGTGACTCACCCCCCCTCACGATGGCAAGTGGCAGAGATTTTGTCCGCGCCGTGCTGTGCTGTTGCCTCAGCACCCACCAGAATCAGTCGGGCAAATCATTCGCGAGCCCCCGATTGCCAAACTTCCTCAGCAACTTCCAAGTTGTGCCAGAATCGTTCTGGGGACAACCGTGATGCCCACAAACTGCAAGAACAGGCAAGCACCGCCATTGGGGAGGTTTGAATGGAATAAAAACTGCACCTGCCTGAATCACAACTCAGCCGCCGAGACCCATTTCACGGTTGCAATGTCGCAAACCACTGCGGACCCAAGACTTTCCACTTGCCACGCATCGTTCCCAAAAGTCAAACCACCAAGGACCATAAAAACATGTTGTCATTTGGGCTACATCCACATAAAGCACCTACCAAAGTTGCTCACCTGCAAGCCAAGCTGGACTGAAGGCTCCGGGCCTCCTGGAAGGTCAGCCCAACCGTGGCCACTTCTGGATGAGTGAACGTGCAGCGGGGCACCGCCTCAAAGCGCTGGCCAAACGGAGTCGTGTCGGAGTGTCGCAATTTACGCTTACTCTGACCAACTCCCTCGAGTCTCAAACAGGTGGCGGAAAACAGGGAACCCTCCAATCAAAGCGCTTGGCAACGTTTGACTTGACTGACTTGACAACCAAACACAAACGCCTCCCTTTCTGCAATCGCGAGCGCCCATTCCCGCTATAATGCTAGAAACCTTACTTGCGCCTGAATTGATGGCGCCCTTGCTGCTAGTGCCCCCTAAAAAATGATCAAAATGATGCTCCAAACAAGGTCGTGTGGCGTAGGGGCTCCCATTTGTCGCGGCGTGAAGTTGGACAACCAAAGCACGGGGTGATGCACCATTCGCCAACACCCACACTCGTTTGATGCCTTAAATTCGATCAATGCTTGAAGTGTCTTAACACGGTGCTCAGAATGCCGCTGACACACACACACACACACCATCCGAGGGCATTTACAATTCAAGCGACCCGTGAAATTGCCTCTCGTTTTTGGGCTGGAGCCTGAACATCACTGGGCAGAAAATTGCTGGTCTGCGCCATTTGGTAAGCTCCGTCTATTGCTGTGGAGCTCTATGGTTTATCAAGCCGCGGCCTTGGGATTTCGGATTTCGATGGAGTCGCGGGCATTTTTGTGCTCAACACACCCTTCTGATTTGTGCCTACCCCCTCCACAGAAGGGCAGCTCCTGCACAGAAGGGGGGGGTGATCTTCGTTATTCCGCCCGCCAACACTGCAACAGCGCATTGCGGGCTTGCATCCTATGGGTAAGAGAAACTAGCTTCTTTGAGAGGCCGAGCCTCAAACGGGGAGCCAAGTGGCAGCCATTTCTGGCGCCTTCACACTGATGGCTTGCACGCAGTTGAAAGCCGCCACGGCCCCCTGCAAATCGGAGCAAATCGGGGCAGCGCTCCTTGAACAAAGGCAAGAACTACAGGCTTTGGGGCATGAGGCCCAAATTGACAGCCCAAGCATGGCTCCAAGCAATGTGCGCAAACCAGCCCGCAAAACATTAAAACATACGCATGGACGCAAGTTAGCACAAGGCACACTCAAAGCAACTGCAACGAACCAGACGTCGGGCTTTGCCCGTGTTTGGCAACTGGCGTCTATGCATCCTGGAAAACGTTGCAATGCAACGCTGAGTGTCAGCAAGAAATCGTGCGCTTGCAAGACAGGCGGCCTGCACTGCATTACTTCTGGTCAAGCCTAACCCCTTGGTGAGGCCACCTTGGGGGGGGCGTGCCACATGCTGTCACTACTGGGATCGATAGTAGCAAAGTCCTCACCCCGTGCCAAGAAACCAGGCACAGCATGTGTTCCTTCCTGATGCCGAAGGGCCCTAATTATCACATATAATGTCACATATAGAACCGTTGTGCATGGAGGGCTTCTCCTGGCAATGACATGCAAGACGTACCGACTCCACAGATCATTCTTTACCCTCAGGCCTGATACCCTGCCAAGTGCGTGAACTGCAAACCGCCCAAGCAGTCGCCTACCTCGGCGCAAGGAGGGGGAATGCATCTTGAGTGCTGCTGCCTTGGACGCACAAACCACATCAAAGGCAAGGCCACCTTGCCTCTTCTTCAGTGGCCCCCATGAACAACCGCATCACTTTCGCCAGGCGGCTGCGAAGATGTGCTTTGCGCTGGTTCGCAGCTTGGCCTTGGCAACATGACAAGCTCTTTGTTCAAAAGTGCCCTGTCAGTGACATGGCGTAACAAGGGGCTCATCGTTCAATTTCCTACACCTAGGATGTAAACCTTTCATATGTTATTCATATTGGCAACCCCTCCCCCTGAATGAGGAGAAATATCTTTGAAGGTCACAGATGTACGATTGTGCAAAATGCTGACTCAGTATCCTGTCTCTCTGCTACAAACCATGCAGCTATTAGTCGGGGGCGGGGCGGCTTCTTTGCTGCTGGGAAAGTTTCAAGTTCCAATCTCACAAACTGCTGAAACAGGCGGAATACCAGCCAGGTTGCATCCACAGTGATGCCGCCCTTGGTCCATTTGACTCCTGCGCACAGCATAGAACGCCGATTGTTGATGTGGCACAGCACGGAATGACTAGTCACATAGGTTAGCCTGGCACGGCATTTGTGACCCAGGCATGGCTGCCACTAGGATGATCCACACGAAGCACAAACCCTACTCCACAAATCACGAAGCTTAACTGGCCGCGGCTTGTTACGAGCCTCGGTTCAACACAAGGCCACATCTAAGCTGACATCTGCTCTCCGGGCCGGGGGCAAAAGACTGCATTTTCTGGGGGGCCTGGTTGGCCTGGCTTGGGGTAGGGGTTGGCTGGCCGCACCCCAAGCATCACCGTCCGGGATGCAGCTGGCTGGGTGCGCAGCTGGTTTAGCATTGGCTCCCAGCCAGGAAGCCAAGAGAGACAACTCACACATCAGAATGTACTTCCTATGTATGTTGTAAAAAAAAAGAATCGGTGGCCTTTGCAAGAAGATTTGTGGTTTAGTTGTTGGACCGGCATTTCATTAGAACAAGGGAAAGGCAAAAATGCTTGATTGAAAAAAACGCGGAAGGCTGGATGCACCGAACCGTCGAAGTCACCGCCACATATGTGTGGCGAGGCTACCCCGCATGGAATGCATGTTACATTTTTTCCTGTATGTTTCTGGCATGTCCGGCAATCTGGCGAGTTGGTGAGCATTGTTGCATACTGTCCATGGGGCTTGCTTCCTTAACAGCTTGCGTTCCATTTTGCAACTTGACAGCGGTGAATCTTTGACCCAGGCATGTGCCAGATGAGACATGACATGTCCCATTCGAACACCACACATGGCAGAAGGAACAGTACTTCACGACCGGCAAATCCCAACGGCACGCAAGATCCACACCTAACTACCTTGCACCCAATCTCACAACGCCATAGGAAATACACAGCTCCAAATCCCAACGGCGACGCGAGGTGAAGCGACAGTTCAAACCCCGATGGTACACAAAAGCCAACACGAAGGGGCAGCGACTTCAACAAGTCCCGTGTGCAAAATGATTGATTGAGTCCTTGTCCAATCTTCACAATGGAAAGGCCAAAGAAACTATCATTAGGGAGACCTTTGAGGCAAAGGAGCATGATTCTTGTTCGATCTCCGCTGGTTCGTTTCCACGCTTCTCGGCTTTTGCGGCTCAACCGCACAGAATTGAAGCTGTCCTGCAACCCTCACTTGCCCACGACTAAAACTAAACCAAAGCTTCACACTCATGAGGCACCAGAATATCAACCAAGTCGCCTTGCACAGACTCTAGATGGAAAGCGACTTCTCAAGCAACACACCAACTCTTGAACTTGCTTCACACAAACAAGAAACCATAAGTCAACAAGAAACTGCGCCCACCAGGCAACCAGTTCTTCAACCAAAGACCAAATCGACTCAACCTTACCCGAAATATCCCAATCCTGACATCTGCCCGAAGTATCCCAAACTTGACGATGCCAACTACCTGAGACACTACGTGGGGTCAAGTTATGCGAACCTTGGAAAACCAATGCTGTTGTGTTGATGCTTCTTTGAAACACATGAGCGCTGTTGTTACATGGTTGAATTCTCGAGTGTTCCCACCTCATTCCCCAATGTCGCATGCGTTATTCACAATCACCCACATGGCCCTGCCTCCGTTTAGGGGTGTTCCTACCTTGTTTTGCTCTTCACTCAGTATGTTTCCCAAAAACTGCTTCCGCCCAGTTGCTGTAGCCTAAATACCAGCGGTAGCTCACATGTCTGGATTTTGAACGCAATGTACTTTGATGCCCTTTCGTCAACTGATTCTGTCCAGAATCAAGGATTACAAACCGCCAGCCACGCGTGATGAATCCGTGACTTTGCCTGCCAAATGCTCAAATCAGTTGGGAGATGTTGGGAGAAGTTGGATGGTCTGGAAATTGCGCCTTGCAGTATTTTCGGTAAATGGTCAAGTATCCCCCAGAGCTCAAACACATTTGAGCTTGTGGATGAGCGAAACCTTGCCGTTCTAGAAAGGGTTTAAGCATCGGCCTTGTTCAAGAGAGAACGCATGGGATCAGATTTGATCGTCCCAAAGGCTAGGGTTGTGTTGCAAGAATCGCGCATTTGTCTGTAATTAGAGGCTGTCTTGTATAAATCCAGGGACATTTCAGGCACCCCGTGGGTACCCCTGTTTCCAGCCGCTTTGGTTCTTCTAAGTTTCCATGAGTTTCCTAAAAGGAGCAAGGGATTGGCCCCGATTTCTCCACCGGCCCGGCGATTCAATGGCCTGCCCGATCCAGCTGCAGCAGCTCGAGGTTTTTGGGCCGGCGCCCTGCCGCCACCAGGAGCGCTTGCACCGACGCGCTTTGGCCGTCGCCGGTTTTCAGCACCAGCCCTCGGCTGGAGTGGAGCGAGTGGGGCGGGTGGGTGAGAGGATTGGGCTGGGTCGGGGGTTGGGGCAGGTGGGGTCTGGAGATGTCTGGAGCAAATGGGAAAGATCTGTGTGTCCGCATCACCTGCACGCCCAACGACGGCGCACATGGGCGGAACATGGTCCAAGGATGCAATTATATACGGATAATTGTCTCAGCCAACCCATAAGTCAGTACTTACCGGTTTATCATTGAGGGGCCGAGACAGCAAATGCTTTCCTTGCCTGGGTGTGGGTCAAAACAAAAAGGACCACACATGGAACCCTGGTAAATGGAGCCAAGGACTAACACCCGCGGTCCCCTGGTGGCTCAATTTTGACCCATACCCATCTGTGAAAAAACAACGCCAAGCCCGGCGTGACTTCCAGAAGTTGCGCTGGGAGGCCGCTGCCCTGGGCTTCCACAGATTCGGCGCGGCCAGTCAGCACGCTGATGCCCTCTTCCTCGAAAACCCGGGACATGACACTGCGCCTCGGTGCGCAAAGCCGCAAAGCATCTGAACATGGGGAAAGCCCAAGCCGCACCAAAGCAGAGCAAAAAACAGATTGGGTGGGCGTCAGAATGCCCTACCTCGCTCAGAATCTGGGAAAGGGTCGAAGCAGCCGGACTTTGAGGTGTTGATTTCATGTCTCGCTTCTTATCTAGATGGTTGCATGTCACAAATGAGGAACCCCTCCAAGCACGAAACCATGTTAAGAAAGTGAAACAACATGAGGCCTTAGTCTGCAGTTTCCACACATGCCGCTGAGGCCGGCTCACATCCTCATCCTCCCTGGGCATCAGTTTGCCGACCATAGTGACCTCAAAAGAAGCGTGCTGCCAATTCACAAGCTGCGCATGGGTTCGCCTAAAACGACGAACCCGTCCATTTCGCTTTTCCATCATCCCCGAAGGGGCTGCCCGTTTCCAGATCGAGCTGACACTAAGGGTGGGAGGGTGCTATCCATGCCTGTTGTGCACCCAGAGGGACTGCCTAGTGTGCTATGCAGCCTTTCCACACGCTCCGGGCATCACTGGGCGCAGCCTTTTGGATTCCAATAGAACTAGCCCAAATGCTCACAGAGGGGCGGCTGAGAGAACAGCATACTAAGGCAGGGTAAAGCGATTGCAGAAGCAAGCAAAGGAGCGCATCTACAACACTAGCACAAGATTAAGCGCGCTGGCCCGTTGCTGGCAAGAATGCAGAGCGGCGGTCTACACGCGCACACACACATATCACAGAAATCGCGGCCGCTTCGTGGGCAAAAAAAATGGCACAACCCCTGCTGGAGCTCGGAAACTGCCTCGGCCTGTACAACAAACTTGCGTTTGCCCGCACATGCTTCCCCCGGACGCGGCACGTCGCACATGCCACGACTTCCGAACAACGCGGCACCAACCAGGCAACCTCTCCTGAGGTGGGCACCTTCGCCCCCAGGCGGGCCATCGCCTGCGCCAATTCCGAGCCAATGGGTCCTGGCAGACTCAAACCGCACCGCGGTTTGAAGAAGCAAAACACAAAACCCCCCAGGGCCTCCAGGGCCGAGCAGTTTTTTACATGCACCTCCCTCAAACTACTGGCGACATTGCTTCAGAAATACTTGAGAGTCCTGAGGTCCAAATGTGCTCAACTTGCTTGCCTCACCTGGCCTTCCAGCTTTGTACTCAGGCACTCAACCAGGTTTGCCCGCCACATGTGCGTTCAAACAGATTCAAGAAGGAAATCAGGAACGTGAACTGTGCGTTTCCTAGCCTATGACGTGCTTCTACCGAGTGTAAGACATCTAAAACCAAAGCATGATTCAGCGACTGCAGACTGCAAACCGTGCCGGCTCTACAAAGTTTAGCCGCATTTCCTCGTTTCCTCCAGCTCCATTTGCCCCTCACTGCTGAATTCGGATTTCGGAATCTCTCCGGACGACTGTGACGCAGGAACCCTGTGCTGAGAGGCGGAAACCCGTCCTCCGCCAATGACTGCGAGAGAATCTGGCAAGGACTCAAGATCGAACACGGTTTCCTGAGCAGGGTCCCGAATCCGTGAGCCGTACAGGAGCCCCAAGCCGACTTGCACTTACTATTGGTTTGGCATTTACTCCCAAGAGATCATCAAACAACATTTAGGCTCGAGGTATGAGGGTGTTGGACTTCTGATGCATCACAAGGGGGAAGAGTGATGCACAAGGCATTGCCCCTTTGCAAACCCTTCTTGGAAACGAAACAATTTGGTGGCGGTTCATTAATCATCCATTGTGTACATGCGGGCAGGATCCAAGTGACACAAGCTGGTTTAGCCGCACTCCCGCCTCAATGCATTTCAGGCCAAATCATGTGTGCAAGGAGCATGACCAGCGCTCCGTGCCTCTGTTTTCCGACGGCAGCAAGCTCCAAACATGCGGAGTTGGAAGCAAGTGCTCGATATTCACTGCCCACAATCTTACAGCGCATGTTCGCGCATGCAGTTGATTATGGGCTGCACGTGGCCGGCATGGCAACCTGGATCGGGAAATCGGGTGCCCTGACAAGCGTAATGACAATGATGCTAGTCAACCGGAACAAGGGCAGCCGGCATACTGCAGAGGCCCCGAGAATCCTGACAAGGATGCGCCATTGGCAGAAAGGTTACACGTGCTTTCTTGCACCTCCACAATCGCCAACCCACCTTTACAAGGTGCCATGTCTTTGAGACAAGGGCCCCATTGAGTAGCCGGCATGACTCGGTTACTCCCCTGCACGCTAGCGTGTCAAAACAGAAAACACTTGTCCATACTTTTCCGGGTTCCATGTTAAGCGCAATATGTTGTGTGATGTGTCTCCCAAGCTGTTGCTTTTATGCTCCCCGTGGTTCCTGCTTCAGGTGTCCAAGCTTGCGAGTGAGGAAACATGTTAACATGGACGTTCCTTGGGCCGGGCTGTGCCATTTGGAGATAATTCGGATGTTTCATTGGAACCACTGACATGGTAATCTTCGCCAATACACTTTCTCTTCCTATCCCTTTCTCGTCTCTTTTCCTTGTCCCTTCGTCTGTTCCTGAGACATATTAATGAGTTGGCCTGGCGGTTCTATCCTGCAAGTATGTGGTTGTCGACCTTTTCGGTGGAAACTTCAAGAGGACAGGTGAGGATGCTCGAATCTAAACTAGAACTTTGACGGATTTCACTAACATAGAAATTGCTCTGACCAAACAAAAAAGATGTTGGGGACCAGAAATTGTTCTATGTTAGTGAAAACCGTCCAAAACACCATGATCTAACAACATGTCATTGCGTGGCGCTCGTCTCAGCCAGGCTCCAATGCCTTTGGCCCAACATCATGTGTTTTCAAAGTTGCGCGCCCCCATCCCTAGATTCCCCCAGAAACTTCCGAAAAATCAGATGGCAGGGGCGTCACGATACTTTTTGGCCTGGTTAGGTTCAGCGTCCACGTTAGTCTGTAGGGGTGTAGCCGTTCCGGGCAAAGCTCCAAGGCGTGGGCGGGCTCCAACTGGGCTCAAGCAGAAGCTAGTGCGCTAGCTGCTGGCCCCTTTAACACGCCGAAACAAAGCTTGAGAGCCTGTCTGGCATGCGTGGCCCGGAGGCCCGAAAGATAGGATTTTCCACCGCGCAATCAGCGGCATTTGCGAGGGGACTGCACGCATGGGCATGACCCTTCGAACGAACGCGAGCAGGGACTGGAGGCATGCTGTCGAGCAAGCCTAGGAGCACCAAAAGATTCCGGAAAGTTGCTGCGCAGTGCGTCGGCACGTCGGTACGTTTTTCGATCTTGGCGGTCCTTCAACATGTAGACACCACACACTTCCCTGGCAGCAGCAACTTCCGACCGTTTGGGCACGCTATATAGGAAAGACACGTGAGCACATAACAATGCTATGCTGCAGATCTGTGTAAAAGGGTGCTTTCCTACAGCTGCGTAAGCTACTTCAGCTACATTGGAACCTGAGCTGCAAATATATCTCGCGACATTGTGCAGGCAAAAAGCGTCTGGGTGTTGTCCCGGCCTTGGATCCCTGAAGAAAAACCAAAACACCAAGTTGTTAGGAGGAAGCCAGCGGAAGAATCCGCCGGGGCACCCCAAAAGTGAGTCCTGCAGGAAGAAAGTTGAAAAATACGACGCCTTGGCACAAAACGCCGTGGGATTCTCCACCGCTTGCTTGCGGTGGCTCCCCAAGGCGATATACCTCTTGTGGTGGCCAAAGGCTATCCATACTCGGACTGCCTCAGCTGGCCATAGCCCAAAGCCACATTGCAAAAACAGGGAGCCACGAAACAAGAAGAATCATGGCTTCAACGAACACGCTCAACCGAAACGAAGCACGTCAAAACAAAACAGCATGGCACCAGAACTGCCCAGCAGTTGCTGGGAGCATAATTTGATTAGGTCTGGGCACCTGGAGCCGGGACGCTCGGTCAATACCCACTTCAATTTATATCCGAATTGATTTGAGTGCAACAGTCAGGAGGGGGTTGCCAAGAAAGGAGTAGCTCGCGTGTTTGCAGGCTGGGTGACAAGCCGAAAAGGCCTTTGCGCCGAGCGCGGCAAGGGCAATTGTTTCTAAAAAAAGGCAACACCAGCCAGTCGCTGAGATTGAGAACATGATTGAAGTTGACAGGATAACGGAAGAGCCCTGTGACCTCCCAAACAAGAGGCCTGCCTGAACTTGAGGGCTAGGCAGAACCAACCTAGGAAAGTTGCAAAGTCGCGTGCCAAACAACAGAAGGGGTGCAGGCAAATGCCGAGGTGTGAAAACAATGGTATCACAAGAACTGAGTTCTAAACATAATGCTCAGACCTGAAAGGGGAGAGGGGCCAAAATGGAAGTGCGCCCCCTGATCATCTCATAACAATAAGGCCTGCAACACTGATGGGGGAATGGTAGCTCTCGAAAGACCGGCCTCATCTGCCAGGAATGTGACTCTGCCCAAGCCCTGCTTCAGTCTTGCTCGTAAGCCTCAACCATCTAAAAAAAGCAGCTCGGACCCCTGGACTTGACGGCCCAGCCCATGGACAGGCGGCTCAGTCTGCCCATGGACAGGCGGTCCCGGTCCACGCACATGCGCGTGGAGACTTTTGGAAAGCACCGAAAGCCTGCAGCATCGACGGGCGGAGGTGCCAGTCAAGGCCCATGCCAGGCAGAGTAACCGAGCGGGGGCTCAAAACACGTATGCAAGCAGGGAGGCTTCAGCAAAACACGCTGGCATAAACGTGCATCACCTTCCGGCTTGGGCGGGTGTGTGTTAGCACGCTGCACATCCACAGAAACGCGCAACATGAATTGAACACGCACAGTCACATTGTACGTGCTGCAAAATCCGCTGTGTGTGGGGGCATGATGCCATGTTCATGTTTTGGACCCTCCCCACGACTAAGTGTTTGCAGTCATGTTTTGAGGAATCTTTCAACAAAGCAGGCATCGCCTGGATGGGTGCAGTTCTTCTGCAGCAAGCGAGATCTTAAGACCTTCTTCAGACTGCGGGCGCGCATGTAGAGGGCAAAGCAGAGCAGGTGCTAGCAACCGAGGCGCGCTTGCTCGAAAGAGTGGAGAACATGCAAGGAGTATTTACGCCCAAGATCCTTCGACAACTACCCCCAACATTGGAGGAAAACTGCCCCAACAATTGGTGTTAAATTACCCATACAATTGAAGGTAAATTGCCCACAAACTTGGGGGTAGATTACCACCCAAAAGTAGGGGTAAATTACCCCCAACATTTCTCCCAAATAACCACCACTTTTCCAAATTTCCCCAAAATTCACCCCGATATACACTCAATTTCCCCCCTAATTTACTCACAATTTACCTCCAATTTGGGGCTCCCCACGCCCAGTCGGTAAGCCTGTCTGTACAATACAGAAGGGCCATGAGCCACAAATGCACGCATGGTACAGATGACTGCCAAAAGGTCAATGGCCTGCAAAACAAAGAAGAAAACAACCAAAAAATATATTTTGACCCTTGCCATCGAATTATGATATCAAGGCCCTACGACGTAGCCATACTTTTTATGCTCCGTAGCCGTAGGTAATCGATTTCGAGAAAGAGATAATCGATTTCGAACATGTCAAGAAGGTCACCTCTCTTTTGTGACTCGGACATGTTGGGTTTGTCGGGTACCGACATGGCTTGCGCAAACTCCGAGCAACTAAATTTTCATTCCACGAGGAATGGCAGTCAAAAATCATTGTGTCAAACCGTTTTTGTGAGATGTGAAGATGCATTGCTTTGACAAAGCAAGAACTGGTGTGTCCTAGGCGACTGTCTCACTTCAAGACAGGAGCGACGAAGCTGATATCGCAATTGGAACAGTCTTGTAGACGATGAGGTTAAAGGAACTGACCTTGTGAGGATGTCAGTTGGTTTGTTGTACCGTCGCGTCATCGATGTTGCGAATTCGGTTGTTGATCGTTGCTTGAGGAAGCGGGTCATATCTGAAGATCTTCCGCGCCGCTGCTGGTGGTGGTAGTAGTTCTTGCTGCGGCTGCTCTTGGAAACATCCCTCATTCCAGCTCTTGCTGTAATCCGTCCATGCCTTTTAGTCAGGCTTGTCGTGGGAATGCCATCCCTTCATTCTCCGATTGTTGATCTTTTTGGCCTCGAACTTGCTTTAATGTAATGCCAGACCCCATCGCTATCGTTCACTGCGCTCATAAGCACTTTGCTTGCGACGTGATTGAACGTTCTGCAGAAAAAACTTGATAGTCGCTAATGACCGTGCCTGCGTCGTCTTCGAATGCCTTGCGTTCCTCATCAAATCCTTCCTCTTCCTGCATCCGGTAGTCTTGTTAATCGTTGGTCTTGTCCCAGCCGAACACGTAGTTCAGGAAAGGCCCTGTCGTAACTCGAGCCTTTCTTGGAGGACCTTGAGGTGACGCAAAATGATGTGAGCGAGATCCTGGCAGAACTGATGTAAAACCTGCGCTAGTTTGGTTCTGCTTCCGAATGCGCCCGCATTGCCTTCCCAGTGGCTGACGCTCATGTTTCACTGAACTCTGAACTTGTGAAATTCTTGCGCCTTCTCAAG